CATGCAATGAGTCCTACCCAGCCTGTGTGACAGTGAGGGACTAGGGGAAGGTGGGGACACTTACCTGCCCCCTTCTCCAGCAGGGCAGGGGCAGAGGCAGCGATCTGTTGGGAAGAGACGGCCTCCACCTCACCCCAACGGGAAAGAAGCTTTTTCAACCGGATTAGCTGACCTGCTTGACAGAGCTTTAAACCAGTGTTTCCCAACTGGTGTGCCATCAGGCACGTCCAGGTATGCCGCGGCATTTTGGGCTGGAGCCACGCCCCCTGCCTGCTGCTGCTGCGGACACAGACAGATGGGGAGCATGGCTCCAGCCCAAAATGCCATCCAGCTGGCTGTGTGCCACCCCTCCCCATCGGCATCCAGTTGGCTACACCACCCCCCACCCCTGCCATCAGTGTCTGGCTGGCTGTGCGCCACCCTCTCCCCCTTGATCCACGTCCAGTGTGCTGTGGTGGTTTTTAATTTAAGTAAGTGTTCTGTGAAAAAGGTTGGGAAACACTGCTTTGAACTAAGATTGCTGGGGGATGGGTCCACAACCATAGGAGCAAGCCCAGGAAGTAACAAACACATAATCAGCTGGTCAGGAAATACAACCGAGCTTACTCCTACCCCAGCCCAAGGATGGGACTCTCCTAAACACACAAATAAGCATAGGGCTTCTGATAGCAGGCTTAGCTGCCTTTACACAAATGCGAGGAGCATGGGGAGCAAACGGGAAGAACTGACCCTTCTGCTAAGCAATAATAAATATGATTTCGTAGGGATAACGGAGACCTGGTGGGACTCAACCTATGACTGGACCACAGGTATAGATGGATGTACCTTGTACAGGAGGAACCGTGTTGGGAGGATGGATGTGAGGGTGTAACTCTATGTCAAGGAGCAGTACACTACCCTGCTAGTTGACTTTGGCACCAAGGAGGGCAACTCAAAACCCTCTGGGTTAGAATACAAGGAGAACATGGTGAAGGGGGTATTACTGTGGGCGTCTGTTACAGACCTAACCAGGAGGAAGAGCTCAACCACAAATTCTCTAGGGTACTATCAGAGGCTGTACGCTCTCAGTGCATGGGTGATTTCAACCACCCTGACATCTCATGGGAAGAGCATTCAGCTAAATTTGAGTGGCCGCGCAGCTTCCTCACCTGCAATGACGAGCTCTATCTGACTCAAGAAGTCCATGGGTCGAGAATGGGTGAGGTGCTGCTAGATCTGGTTCTGGCCAAAAGGGATGATCTAGTGAGTGACCTGAGGAAGCTTGGTGACAATGATCACAAGTTGATCACTGACTCTATCCATTGCAAAGCTGGCAAATCAGTCAGCAATGCTGAAATCCTCAACTTTAGAAAAGCTGACTTTCATAAGCTCAGGAGGTTGGTTGTCAAGGTCCTGAAAGATCACGATTTAACAGGGAAGGGAGCCTAAGATGCCTTAAGGATGCGATCCTAAAAGCACAAGGGAAGTCCATTCTGGCCTATAGGAAAGGTAGTAAAAGGGCTGGGAGACCCCCTTGGCTTAGTAGGGAACTCATGGACCTCCTGAATCTTAAAAGAGAAGCTTATAAGGGTTGGAGGATGGGAAATACCTCTAAGGAGGACTATGCATCACTGGCCAGCACCTCTAGGGAGCAGACCAGAAAAGCCAAAGCTAAAACCAGGCTCAAACTGGCTATGGGAATCAAGGACAATAAAAAGTCCTCCTTCGGATACATGGAAAATTGAAAGAGAAAAAGGGTAACGTCAGACCCCTGCAGGGCAGCTGACATCTGACATCCAGGAAAAAGCTAATCTCCTTAATGATTACTTTGCGTCGGTTTTTCATCAGCCAAAGGGGATCACCCTGCCTGATAGAACACAGGATTATGAGGGTACAGGTGACCACATGCCTACATTTGACAAAGACCTTAATGGGGGAACACCTTCTGTTCTCAGACCCAGAGAGTGACAGTCAATGGAATGAGTCAACATGGCACGTAGTGACCAATGGCATCCCTGAGGGTTCAGTTCTTGGACCAGTAAGTACTCTTTAACATATTCATAAACTACCTGAATTCAGGTGTCAGAAGCAGACTGGCTAAGTTTGCAGATGACACCAAATTATGGGGAAGCGTGGTCACACTAGAGGATAGGCTGGGGATTCAAGCTGACTTGGACAGGCTCACAAAATGGGTGGACCAAAACCTGATGACTTTCAATGTAGAGAACTACAAGGTGCTCCACCTTGGGAGAGAGAACCGACATCATACTGATAGGCTTGGCAGTACTACCCTCGTTAGCACTATGATTGAAAGAGACTTGGGGGTCATGAGTGAATATGAGCCACAAATGCAATGCCGCAGCCGGCAAAGCAAATAAAACCCTGGCTTGCATCTACCAGTGCATCTCAAGCAAGACCCAGGATGTCTTCTTCTTGCTGTATTCGGCCTTGATGAGTCCACAGCTGAAGTACTGCATCCAGTTCTGGGCTCCACACTTTAGGAATGTCATGGAGAAGCTTGAGAGAGTCCAGAGGAGAGCCACGTGCATTACAGGTCAGGAGAGAGGCTGAGAGGCATGGGACTCTTCAGCTTGGAAAAGCATAGGCTCAGGGGGGACCTGATGGCAGCCTATAAGTATATCAGGAGTGTGCATTAGGATCTGGGAGAATGTTTGTTCACCATGGCACCTCAAGGAGAAGACAGGGTCCAACAGTCACAAACTGCTGGAAGACCATTTTAGACTGGACATAAGGAAAAACTCTTTTACTGTCCAAGTCTCCAGAGTCTAGACTAGACTCCCTCCAGAAGTGGTGTAAGCACCTACTCTGGACACATTCAAGAAGCGTTTGCATGATTATCTCGCTGGGGTCATCTGACCCCAGCTGGCTTCCTGCCCTTTGGGCAGGGGGCTGGACCCGATGGTCTTGCAAGATCCCTTCTAGCCCTAATGTCTATGAAATCTATGAACTTCAGTGTTCTCAGTGGTCTTAAGACAGTCAGAAGACTTCAGTGTTCCCAGTATTTTAAAGCACCATAACAGAAGCAACTACGTATTTGTGACTAGACACAGAGCAGTGTTTCTGTCTGTGAGCAATATGTGCCTTATCTTCCCCTTCCTCCTTGTGTATGGCTAAAGCTATATGATGTTATTTGTCAAACAAGAACTTGTTGAAGCATTGGGACAGGTTCCCCCTGCATCAGCAATAAGATGCGGTGGGATCTAATGCGTGATCCGACTGTCACACCTCACTCCATGTACATGGGGCATGGCAGGAGGCATGATTGTGTGAATTGCACATTACACCCCGTCATGCCTTTAAGTTCACATGTAGAGGGGTCCTAAGTTATCTTTCTAACAGATACTAATGCTGCTTTTAGCAAGCTGGAGATGAACGCAAGGTTATGGAGAAATCAAACTATGAAAATCTTTTCTCTAACTCATTGGGACAAATTCAGTTTTGTTAAACTGCCGTAACTAATAAAGGAACAGCAGAAGAATTGTGACAGATGCTGACCAAGAGACCCCTTGTAGCATGACATAAACACTTTTAGCTTCTTTCATTCCTTGGAGTCTCAGAAGAAGGGTGATTGCACCTGAAAGCTTTCTAAAACTTTTTTCCAACTACTCGGTTGGTCTAATAAAAGATATTACATCTACCCAAAGAAATTTGCCTGCTTTATAGCATGAGATGAATCTGCTGACACAGTACATATGCCATTCTAAAACATCCTGCTAAAGATAAGATGCTGTTTGAAACAGGATTATTTTTGTGGTGGACCTGCCATTTTTGTGAAGCTACTGACGGTATGAACATATGCACGCTTGTCTTCATAGTGCTAAAAGGGCATATATAATACTACAATTATAATGCATACCCAAGGCCTTAAGAACACCTATTTATATAAGTCTTATCACCATGGAATTAGAGTACTTTGAAAGAAGATAAAACAAGGAGCTATTGAGAAAGGAAAGCGGGGAGAAATCAAGAATTATGAGGGAAAAGAGAGGGGAATAAGATAAAAGGAAAAAATACAAAAC